AAACTCGGAAAGAATCGAGAAAAAGCGTAAAAAATAGTCATCCAAAAGCTTTTAAAGACTATTTTAGGCAAGAAACGACTATAATCTACGCATTGATTGACAAATATCTTAAAACGATCTGAAACGCACGTTCCGTTGATTTTTTCGTAAATTCTAGACGTAAATTCGATTCCTGCTTTCCTGAATCACGCCGAAAATGTCTCCAGAATCGCGAAAAGTGCAGAATCAGAAGGCGCAGACATAAAAAAGAAGAAAGACGGCCGAACAAACGATCGTTTCCTCTCCGCTCTCTCACTCTCTCTCTCTCTCTCTCTCTCTCTCTCTCTCTCTCTCTCTTTTTCTCTCTCTTCCTCTCTATTTGTCTGTCTGCCCGATTTGACTGTCTGCCACGATATCGTTGCGACGTCGTGGTGCACCGATCAAACACGGCCACGGATTTTTTATGCGCTGTGAAACAACCACTAACCCAACAACAGAGAAGGGCATGCAAAAACGGCCGGGATGCCACGTCGAAAAAAGGGCAAATATGAACGTGGTTTTTCTGAACGCGTGTGTGTTCTGGTATGGATAGCGAGAGAGAGAGAGAGAGAGAGAGAGAGAGAGAGCAAGAGAGAGAGGGGGTGAGAGCAAGAGATACAGAGAGATAGCCATGAGAAACTTCTATAAACTTTCCCCGCTGATCCCTTATCCCCTAAAAATTCGGCAAAAATCAAGATCCATGATTCACGTCTGCGCGCCCCGCGTGTCCGCGCTGACCGCACACAGGATCCGCGTGGAAAAACACAAAAAGACCATTTCTCTCCGCAAAGAAAAACGCGCTGAAAAAGCCTACGCGTCCTCGCGGGACCCCAGGCGCCGAATCGCCGACACGACGTCACGCGCGGGACCTCCGCGCGGGGACCCCCGCGCGGAATGACCGCACATGCGGAAGCCGTGTCGTGTTTTGTCGCGATCTAGTCAGAGAATCTTAGAGAGAGTGAGAAAGAGAGGAGAGAGAGAGAGAAAAGAACGATCCGCGGGACCTGACCGGGCCCTGGCACGTCAAAACAATGTCCCAGGGGGAGGGAGTAAATTTGTATCTGACGCGCTGACTGACACATAAAGTGCAGGTGGTAATATTTAGAATAGTATTAAAAGGGGAACACCAACTCTGGCCAACAACAACTATCAATCAAGCAGAGGCCCTCATGACAAATCTGGCAAAATTAAGTTATTCAGGATTAGATGGCGTAACGCATTGATTCTAGATTATAGAATTTTTTGTGTGAATTGAATAGTGAATTTTTAAATAGTGACGTGATTTTCAAAGATTTGCGTTGTTTACGGTTTAGAAAAAGTTTTAAAAATAGCTTAAGCTATCCAAAAACCAGAAACTTTTTAGAATACGTTTTGAAACGGTTAAATAGATGTTACGCTATTCGAGAGAAACAGGCAAGCTCAATTTCACGTGACATACCATAAAAATTAAACGCCTTAATCGGACTACAAACTACAGGGCTAGATAAGTATAATCGCTACCTCCCCGCGATCACTGCAACAATGCATCCCCCCTGATCCTTGATCACCCAAATCCCCTCGCCGAGATTTATCAAAACCGACAGGCCGGAGGCGATCACCATCCCCCCAAACAATCGTTCATGCGAGATCGAACCCCCAAAAGACTCTATTTTCTTGTGGGAAGAATTTGGTCCGTGAGCTGTTGGTGTTCGGTTGTTCCATGTGGTAGCTGACCCCAAAAAAATGTTGCTTGTTGCGTCTAGGCGTCCAGAAATGGACCGAAAAACACGTGTGTGCAAAGTTGGAGCCTGGCCCGCTTGCATGTTTTCCTGGCCTAGTTTTCCGGGTGGATATTGTTGCCACGTTTCGGAAGTTATCGTATCGAAGATTAACGTAGAAAATGTAGCCAAATGAAGCTGAAGAGGTCTTCTTCGAGGCAGAAAATGTGACCATTACTGACAGGAACTGGATCGACTGGATTGGTCGATGACTTCTATAGCTTCATAAGCTGGCTTTACAGCTTTTTCTCTATTTTTAGGGTTTTTCAATTGTCTTCAGATAGCTGACCTCGATTTACTGATGATAATTACCGAAAAGTCTCTGCGGAATTCAAAGTTTTTTTCTGCTTCTATTTGGTGATTATTCGTTCGCGATACGTCCTTGATTTTTAGCGTTCCCTCATTCAATTTATTTTTGAAGCTGAAGAGTCCCTTCAAACGTTCAGATGCAACCCCGTCTATCCGCAAAGTCAAACTGGACAATGCAACCCCTAATCCTGCAACTTTTCAAACCGTCCATCACTCTACCACTAGCCCGCCAGCCAGGTGTGAGGGTGCGAAAATTTCAAAGGGATAATCCTTGGAGGGGTCGCTCGCTCGAACAGTTCAACCCAGTCGGATCAGGCCGTTGTCTCGGAAGAGGAGGTGGTGGTTTTGAGGTATCAAACCAAGCTGAACGTTGGCTTTGACACTTCATGGGTATCCGAACGGAACGTATTTTGCGGAACGTAGCTTATGACATGAAAATCCATCTCTAAGGTTTTAACAGGACAGAAAGGTGTCCATACGGATTCTGAACCATCTATAAGCATCCCTGGCCTTTGTCAAGAAGCCGTAATCGATTACGCATTGATTCTCTTTCTTTTCTCAACCCCTTAAAAGCCTCAAAAATAAGTGCAAGCTATCGGTCTTAAGGTTTCTCCATAAAGTCTAGCTATTTCTGAAGGCGCTGGACGGCCCTTTAAAAGATAGTTTTGATTTCCGATCCCTGTAAGTTTCAAAATTCGAAAGTTAAAGAGATGCAGCGGCGAGAGAGCGCGCCCAGGGGAGAGGCGCGAGACATCCCCCGCGTTCGATCATGCCGCCCCTTGCTAAGCTTTTTACGGTATCTGCTTGAAATTCAGTTCCGGTTGAAATCTTCTAGGAGCCAACTTCGAGCCCAAAAAGCCAAAAACCTCTGCCTAAACCACGACCCCTCCTCAATCTTCGCACCCCCCAAGTTGCAGCAATGTTGTGTTTGTAGCTGTGGATGCAGGGTGTGTGTGTGCCTCTGTCTGTGTGTGTGTGGCTGCTGTCTCGTTGTCTACAGACCGTCAGAAATCGGGGGTGGTGGAGGGAAGGTCAACGCCCTCCCACAGGTGCTAGGAACCGCCCGGGGGCGATGGATACCGAGAAGCAGTCGAGTGAGAGGGGGAGAGAGCACGAGAATCGAGAGCGACCTGAGACACCAAGGACAATCGCGGTGTCGAGACTCGAGTCGCGAGACCGGTCCAAATGCACGACGATGCCGTGGTATGCACTGGAACGGCACCCCGGGTAGGAGAGAGCGAGTGAGAGAGAATGAGCGAGAGAGAGAGAGAGAGAGAGAGAGAGCGAGAGAAAGAACTGTCTAGACTAGCTCAAACACTAGCAACATGCCCTCCAGGCATCGAGTGCCGAGTCCGGGAGGGCAAGTCGAAAGGATTGGTTTTGAACATGAGGGCAAGCAGAGACAATTTGAGACCGAAAGCACCATTTTTAGATCCAAATTTTGCATTGAACTGAGCGCCACATAATTTTAAAGGGACAGTAAAAGGATAAATAGCAAAAAATCGTCGACTTTACCTCAATTTTGGGATTTTATAGCGGTATAACGTATTTAATGGGGTTTTTGGACGTTTCAAGCCATTTAAGTAACTTTGAAATTGTGCTAAAACGCTTAGAAATTCCAAAATGTTTTCGAAACTTTCGAAAACATTTTTGCCAAAGTAAGGGCACGGTGACAGCTTCGAGAAGGTTTTTAAGAAAGCGTAAATTTATAAAAACCAAAAACACGATGTGAACCGGTTTTTCAATCTAAACTCTCTTTAACGCGTTGATAGTCATATACAGAACCTTTTTAAAGGTATTGAAAAGAAAAGGTACGAGATAGACTCGAAAAGAGAAAGCAAATAGGCTTAAAACCACCCGAAAACTCGGCAAAACTCCGAGAAACTGCCATTTCAAGCACCCCTCTCCTCCTCGCCCCTCTGAACCCATTTAACCCGATCATGTTACTTTTTCACGTTTTGCCTCTACTACCTCGCCTCTTGACGACAACCAGTGTTCGCCCCCCTTTTTTGGCTGGCACTTCTCCCGACCTCGAGCTCCTCGCTTGGGGCGAGATGGCCTTAGTGATTGATTCGTGGTGGCAGCTAGAAGAGCACGAGGAACCCCAAGCACAAAACGAGACACGAGCCACGAACACCGGAACGGTTCGAGTCGGACTCGTTGCTAGCTCGAGACTGCACTTGGGGGTTTGCGATGACACACGCGGAATTGGAGGTCAAGCTCTGGGGTTGCTGGATTCTAGACAGGCATGGCGGGTAGTTCAAGCTAGACCGAGAAGATCAATGAGATCAGGGAAAGGAAGAGAGAGCGAGAGTGAGACAGCCAGAGAGAGAGAGAGAGCAAGAGAGGGAGAGAGAGAGAAAGAGAGAGTGATGGGGAACACAAAACAAAATCCCGTGGGTGTTATGGACTTTAAAGGTATCGGTAAGTCAAACGTTGCGGCTTCTCAAGGCGGAATTTTCTCAAAAATAACATTTTCATAAACTTTTAAAGGAACCTGCAAGTCGGAATCAGAAGCATAGAAGCCTTTACGGAACTTTAAAGCTTATAATACGCGTAAAACGACAAAAATGGCAATATGAAGCCTTTTAAAGGCTCCAGGAGAACCCGATACCCACGCTTTAAAGCGTCAAATCCTTAAAAAAACCAAAATATCAATTTTCTTCGTTTAAAGGTGTACGCGAAGTCAAAATAGAGCCTATGGACTCAACAAATGATCCATGCAGGCGCTATTGAAGTTTTAAGACCCTTTAATCGATAGATAATCTGGGAAAACAAGAATAGCAGTTGTAGAAATTCGAATAAAAAGTAGGAAAATATGGATTCTATGAAGATGAGAAAAATGATCAGAGCGCGAGGATAACAGATGAGAAGAAATATAAAAACGTTAAACAAAAGGTATAAAAAGGCGCTTTAAGGCAAGAAAATCGCGCAGATCCAAAATTCTAATTCAACAAAATTCCTTCTCAAAAACTCACGATTTCCGGCGGCGGCCTGCAGTTGCTGCGGTTGCAGCTGTTGTAAATGCTGTTGCTGGGCCAACAGTTGCTGCTGCTGCTTGTGGATCTGGGGTTGCATCTCGGCCAACAGGTATTGGCTGAGGGCTATTTGATCGAACATCAAAGCGGGGTTGGCCATTAATAGTAAGGCTTGTGCTTCGGGCTCCATCTGCGAGAGGCTCTTCAGAATACAGTCCGGGCAGACGGCCGGATTGGCCGCTGCGGACGGACCGGCGGATTGTGGAGCCGCCACCGTACACGGGCACATTCCCGCCAAGAGCGCACGGCCCGGCACCCCTGCCAGCTGAATGGGAATGGATGGGGGTGGAGAGAAAGAGAGGAGTGTAGTGGAACAGGACACAGATAGAAAGAAAAACGAGAGGAACAGAGGAATTAGATGAGGTAAGGGAAACTTGCTGGCACTATCGCTTTAATAGTTAGTTCAAGATGGAAATAGAATAAGAGAGAGGGAAGAGAGAGAGAGAGAGAGAGAGGGAATTACACAAAGGCACGGAAACTTGCTGGCAATATCCCTTGAAAAGCTGGAATTTAGAACAAGAAGAGGCAGCGAAAGGGAGAAGGAGGGGGGGGGGGGGGGGGGGAGAGAGAGAGAGAGAGAGAGAACGATTAGATTCAAAAAACTTGCTGACACTTTCCCCTTAAAAGAGTTCTAATACATTTTAAACGTAATTTTCATTATTTTACATCGTTTTATTGATTTCAAAAACCGAAATTCCAGACAAAACCGTTAAGAATAAAATTTTGAAGTTGCGAATTTTGAGGCCATTGAGAAAATCATAGGCCCCACGCTAGGTAATTTGGGTCAAGGAAAAGCCTAAATTATCAGGTTCATTCAGCGGTACTGAGTACCAAGACATTCTGGATAAAATGCAAAATTACAAGCCTGACGATGGTTAAAAATAATGGCAATTTTAGAGATCTGGGGATTTCCAAAAACGGCTGGTACCACGAATGCGAAAATTAGATTAACTTCGCCAAAAATGGCAACTCTAACTCGAAAATTCTCAGGCGGCTTTGAGAACGGGACGGAATTAGTGCTAAATTTCTAAATAGAAGCGAGAGTGATAGAGAGAGAGAGAGAGAGAGAGAGAGAGAGGTAGCTAGATTTAGCTCGAAAACCCACCTTTTCCGCCCGGATACTATGAACCGTGTTGTCCACCGGATCCACCGGACGTGTAAAAGCTGATAATTATGGTCTGGCGGGGAAATGGGATGGGGAAGGGCCCCACATTGGGACCACACGCCCGCATGACAGGTGTTAAAGTAATTGAGCGTGGTGGTGTGGAACCCAATCACTGCCGAGTGGGAATCACCGGGGCTGGGATACGGTACTGTACGAAATGTTGCTTAAAACGGGAAACGGAACATGAATTTAGGGAGATTTTCTATAGGCAGCTTTAAATTCTCAAGGCAATAATCGAGGCTTTTTTAGCGTTTTTCAAGCTCCACCCTAGGTTGCACTTTTTCTTACGGTAACGTCCGACAGCTCATAAAACCGCCGACGATCCCATCAAGATCACTAGGAGGGGGATCTAGAGCTCGTGGAAAAACCGGGACTATTCCCCGAATCGATGCTCAATTTGGGCTCGCCAGAGGCGCAGAAGGGGAGAAGGAGCAGGAGCGTTTGTGCGATAGGGGAAGGAGACTGAGCCTGAGAAAAAGGAAGGCGGAGGAAGAGGAGAAAGAGAAAGAGAACAACGGAAGAAAACTGTGAGAACAACCCGAAGCCCGTAGCATCGCCTTGATTTTCGGTTTTCAAGCCGATCGAGCTCCAAAAAGGGGAGAATGAGCGGCTGGGGCAATGGGGATCCACCAACAAATTTGTCGGGGTGGAACGCCTTTGGGGTGGAACATCTGGCTCAAAGTTTGTAGTCTGAACTTTAAGAAAACTTCAAGGGTTGTTTAAATGGGCTAAAGGCAGTACAAGCTGCGAATCGACCCCTGTCGTCCGCTAGGCCTCGACAGCTACATGAAAGTAACCCGAAATTGACGCTTCAACCATAATTCAGATACGTTTCAACGCGTCTTTTAGAGCGTAATGTAACTGTCTTGACCTAATCAATGAAAGGGGTCGCTTTCATGCTTTTTAGTCTCTGTAATGTAAGGATTCAGAGCGTTGAAAACAAGTAGACGATCGCGATGCAGTCACAAAATTCTCAAAAATGACAAATATGAATTTTGCTCTCGGCTGACTCCCGAATTTATCAGGTGGTTCATTTTCTGCCTAGGGTTCAGCCAGTCCTGCCAGCCCCTCGAAAAGCTGATAAAATGGCACGACCGTAACTTTTTTTGGTGAGGTTCAACCCGTGCGCTTTGGGTCCAGGGATCAATTTCTAGGTTAAAGGAGCCTGGAAGCTATGAATTCGGCGGTAACGGTGTTGGAGATATTTTAAAAATTCATGAAAAGTGCTAAAAACGAAAAATTGCACCGCGGTACGGACGGACCGGTTTTTCCATGGGTATTGCACCACTCACAACGTCTGGGCCTAGAAGTGGGGCAGAATTTCGTAAATGCGGAACTGTGCGTCGTGGTGTGCTAGGAGGTACCGTGGCGCAGGCGGCGAAGGTATACGAAACTCGGGGTATGGGAATTATGGTCTAAGGCACGGATCGAAGGGCGAAAAAACTAAGGATTCCGAGAAATCGTGATAGTATCCTCAACCGTACGTGAAAGCCGAAATTACGCTACATTTTTGGTTTGGGATCGGAATTTGCAGGGCCAGAAAACGTTTAAAAGAGTGGGAAATTTTGAGGCAGGTGAAGAGCGTTTCCGAGAAATTTCCGACAATCCCAAAAGTCACGTTTTAAGCTCTGAAACCAAGAAATTCTTGAGAGTAGCAGGAATTCGGCAAACTAAATTCCAAACCTATCCAAAACGGGCAATTACGATAGGTATAAGAAGCTCAGACCTGCAAAAACGAGCTCAAACACCTCTAATTCCTCTCTATCGTTTGCTACCCCCTAAAAATTAGCACACAATGCCACAAAAACCTAAATTTAGCCGCGTTGCCCTATACAGAAAGTTGCACTCTCCTCTTTCTCTCACTCCCTCCTCCCCCCCAATTTGGCGATACGGAAAAAACCGGGAAAACGGCTGGCGGGCCGGCTGAAAAAGGCTCGAGAGGGCCCGGGGCAGCAGCAGCCAAAAAAGCGGCGGCGGCGAACAAAAAAATGCGGGGCGCGGAAGAGGCGGAGAGAAAGTGCAACCCGCGACATGTATATAGTGGGGCCTGGGGGTGGGCCCGCTCTACATCGGGTCCCGATCGGGTGTACCGCACGGAAATTGGATGTCTATGGTATACTAATTCGCAGTAAGAAGGTACTGAGGTATCGTTTGGGTTTTTAAAGGGATGGTGCCAGGAAGTACCGCAGAATTCAGGTAAAAAATAGGGTACCAAGTGTCACAGGAAGTCTATATCAAACCGAGAACATTGCGGAAAAGTTAGATTAAAGGGATAGTGCCAGGAAACCAGGTATTTCAGAGGCACCTATAGTTGTATAAAGAGAGAGAGAGAGAGAGAGAGAGAGAGAGAGAGAGAGAGAGAGAGAGAGAGAGAGAGAGAGAGAGAGCTAGGCCTCTAAGGCTTGAGTATCCAAAGGCTTCCGAGCATTTATTTCACAGTTATAAACCTCATTTCCCCCTTCCGGAATCTGAACTGCTCGATCGGCCCGGAAAACCCGAGAAATTCGTGAAATCCCGGGGGATTTGATGACTGGGTCGGATAAGGGATTTGGAAACGAGATTTCAATGGAATTAGGGGAGGAAAAGAAGGTCGTAACTGCAAAAAGTCATGACGAAATCGATCTCAGAGGACCCTGAGGTCCGCATCGAAAAAATCCTAGTTCCGTATGCTCCAAATTACGGATACAGGACGCTAAAAAAGCCCTGAAAACCGATTTATAGAGTCTGTAGGAATATTGAAAAATGCCCGCTTTAATTTTAGGCTAGAAAAGTGCCAGCAAGCTCTCGAAAAATCAGAATAATGAGAGGAAAAATGATAAGGAAGAATCGGATCAAAATAAAATCAAAACGCCACGTGAAAACTCGTGAGAAAAAGCCACAAAAAATGCGTGTAGCGTGCACACGTTCGTCGTGTGTCTGCTAGCGGCTTTGGGAAGGGGGGGAGGCACGCGGAAAATGGGCGGAAAGCGGGAGGGGGGCGGTCTGGGCTAGACATGTACGACGTATAGACGGGGGGGTGCACCACTCTCCCTCGCTGTCTAGGAGCACTCTCTCGTAGGTCTTTTACGTCTGCCTGTGAGGTTCTAGGCTGGCTCTCGCGTCTGATACCTTGAGTCTGGTGTGCTCTCTAGGGTCGTCTAACGTCTGGGGTCTCTAGCTAGGGGGTGGTGTCTCGAGTGTAGATGTCCTCTGGATGCGGCGTGCTCTCTAGTTGAGTATGTCGTCTGGGTATCTAGCTGGGACGTACTATCTAGCTATAGGATGTGTCTAGATACCTTCACAGCGGGTGGCGGACTCTCTAGCCTGTCTTACGCCTTCGTCTCTCTCTAGGTCGCACTACCTCTCTATACCATTTCTGTCTATGTCCTCTTCCTAGGACGCACTCTCTCGTGGTACTCTCTCTGTATTACCAGCTCTCTCGCCTCCCTCTGTCGTGTCCTCTCTCCTCCCCATCCCCTGTCTGCGGCTCTCTGTCTCCCACACTCCCTCGCACCCGCCACACACGCTGGTACCTCTACACAACCTGTCGCTCTCTCACCCCCTCTCTGTCTGCGTCCCTCCCCTCCCCCACTCTCTCCTCGTATTTGCCGACTCTCCTCCCCTTCCCTACCCCCGCCCAGCACCCCCCGGTTGCACTTTAGGCTGGTGAAGGGGCTGTGTTTGTCTGTCTGTCTCTTTTGGTCGTCTCTCTCTCTCTCTCTCTCTCGCCCTGTCCCTGTCTCCGCCCGCCACCCGGCCTAGTTTTCCCTTTTTCTCTTCACAGCCACCCCTTCCGTCGTGCACGCTCCCACACCCCACCCGCCGGTGCGCTCCCCAACACACACACGCACGCACAGAAATGGGGGAAAAGGGCTTTTCCCCCGCCTGTGTGGCTTTTGTCTACTTTTTCTCGCGCCCCTGACTGGGGGAGTACCGCCCCTCTTTTGGGCTTTTTTCGCAGGCGTTTTATAGGCGCGCGTGGGGGTGCGTTTTTTTAGAATAGGGCGGCGTGGGGGTAGTGGGTGTTGGTAAATAACGGTTAGAGGGGTGTGGAGAAAATTTTGAATAATTTGGTATTTTTACGG